AAGTTGTATGATGCGGTGTATATACAGCGTTGCTTGCAGAATAAACCCATATCCTTCGATATAACTGAAACTACTCGCTTCAATCATCATGCATTGATATACTAACCAATACACTTTTGAATTTCAGAATTTAACTTTATTGAAAACATTATACAAATCAGGTTTCGAAGGCATTGGCACTCGACAAATTCCCAAGCGAATGGAGTCGGGCAGTGTCCAATGCCTCGAGATTCTAGTTTAAACTTGGAAGCCGACAAATATTTTGGTGAATGAGCAGCCGGTGGACGTCGAAACCTGCGGCGACGACGTAGGCGACGAAGATGAAAGGTTGTCTTCCGGATGTCTTCGAAGAATACCTTTGATAAATTGATAAGTGGATCTTCGGATGTCTTCGAAGAATACCTTTGATAAATTGATGTCCATCACTTTTTATGAAGCGTGTGAATGGATTGCACAAGAACCAAGGTCATTTCAATTCTTGAACCCACTCGATGCTCCCGTATGCATACATCAATGCACATACTAGTTCTAGTATTCATAAAACAACAAGTTTTGATGCACAAATATGCAGGAAAATCAATCATCCGATGAAAAATCGTGCCGTGTTTGCTCACATGTACCAGAAGACGTATGTCTGGGTAAATTTCGATGATCAAGGTAGTCCTGATTTAGAGTGCTGCCTGAAGGTGGATGGAAACCGTACAGAACTTCTGCTGGACCTGGCTGCAAGACGTTTTGGGTGTTCCAACCTTAAAATTCTACGACACTAATCTAATCCAGCTTTTGACGAGAGGTGCGGTTGGACTCCACATTCTTCATACAGCATTGCGTCAAGGGTCTGGTCGGAGCAGTTGCTTTCGTTTGTCGCGACAAGCGACTGAACTAGAACAATCGACAACACCACAACAACTGACTGCACCCAGCAATATTCTCATCAAGAGGGAGTATGGCTGTGGAGTGGCTGAAATGTGAGCCGCATCGACTCTACACAGCTCGATGTCGCCAAACGACGTGGAGCATCTGATTTCATGTCCGCATGGACTACATTATCCGGAACCTTGTATAAATGCATATGCTGTATTAACGTTACAGTTAGCAAGTGTCAAAAATTGAATTTTATACATTAAAGTTACAAATAATGTTAAATATAATATTTGATGAGGTCACAATATAATGCATAGTCGGAATTGCCAACTCTGCCACGAAGCAAAGCGCGGGGATTGTAGTCAAGCTTTCTTTCAAATGCAGCAACAAGGGCGGCAGCGACCCAAGCGACGCCATGCGGCAACTTGGCTCGATCCGATGAACGTGTTGATGGCTTCCCTAGTCGTGGTGATGTGTCTGATGGTGTACATGAACGTTTTCATGCTGGGCATGAACCAAGACGAATCCAACTCGGCGCACCTGAAGAAGTTGTCTCAAAACTTCAGAAAGGCGGAGGCAGTCGAGGCAGCGAATAACCCGAACAAGGACCCGCTCAATCGGCGCATCGTCGTTTTGATCGCCAACTACCGCGACTCAAAGCGATGTGGGGAAACTGTGGAGTCGATTTACTCCAAAGCGTCCCGTCCAGATCTCATTTCCGTGAGTATTTTCGACCAGCTCAACTTTGAAGAAGGCGAACAACGGTGCTTTGACGTGTACTGCACCCTCGTTGGGGAAAAAGAATGCCGTCGTAGCGAACGCCTTCGTCGCAATGACACCATCAGCTACAAGGACGCAAAAGGACCCACGTACGGGAGGTACCAGACGGAAGAAGGTGTGGACTTGAAAGTCGACACGTTTGCCATGGCGATCGATTCCCATTTGATCTTCATTCCGAACTGGGACACGGACTTGGTGTCGCAGTGGGACTCGATCAAGAACCCGAAAGCCATCATCACGGTGTACCCTGACACGACCGAGCTGTACCCCAAGCCTGGTGACGTCCAGCAAGTTGTGACAATGATGTGCCATGCTCGCATCGAAAGTGACACAGACGACGCAATGGTACAGTACAGTGCAGCGATCGATGTACCGTGCCCGCCGACGCCACGTTTGATGACTCAGTTTGCGGGAGGATTCAACTTTGGTACTGCTGAGTCTGCATTGGAAGTCCGCAATGACCTGTACACTCCGTTTCTGTTCCACGGGGAAGAGTACTCCCGCGTCGCCCGCCTATTTACCCACGGCTACGACAC